TCTCCCCCGTCATTTGGGAGCCTTCCAGAGCAAGGCAGCGAAGGCAGCGGGACAGAGCGCGTCCTTGTTGGGGCATCCTGCGGCAAGGGCCTTCGAGCCGTGCATCTGGGATTTCAGTGCCGCAGCGTCGCTAATCCAGGTCTTGACCACTTGAACGACACACTGAAGCCAGAAACCTTAATGCTGAAAAATGAACCCGTCTGCCTCTCTCTCTCTCTCTCTCGTCCCCACCTTGATCGCTAAAGAAAGTAAAAATGCATTTTAACATAAGAAGTTTAGATGAAAGTGAAGGCTTTCGGGTGCCGCATATGACTTCAAGTAAATTCTGATAAAAGGAGCATACTATACTTCTGGTCTTGGGAGTGAATACATCCTGACATATTAAGAGCTGGCTTTTTAATCTGAACTTATACTTAGCTTGAGCCTTTAATAGATGCTTCTTCAAATGATGGCTACCTGCTGCTAATGTAAAGGGATAGTGATAGCTTTCAATGGCTAATAGCCACCAGACATGATAGCCAGGGACCATCAAAACACTGCAGGTACTAGACAGGAGCAGGTTTGGAATGCAGGCAGCTCAGGAGACATCGGAGAATAAGGTTGAGAGATTAAATCTTTCAGCTGCTTTTGAAATATTAGCCACCTCAAACATTTTATGGACAGGTGGCCTAGAAATATTTCGACCTAACGAACAATGTCAATCAGTCTGAAGTTTTTGCAGCTGACTGTCAACAAGATATTGCTTCAGGTGGAAAGTCCAAATAATTGCTGTTTGCTTTTGAGAAGCGGATGCGTCTTCCTAAACTGGCTGTTCAGGTCCCTTTCTTGTGCTTCTTGGCACCTGCATCCAGAACATGAAATCTTTTGTTAATAACAAGAATCATGCAGTGTGCTAAACCTGCAGTAGATAACAGAAACCTCTGTTGAATCTTGATTTTTGCCTTCACGTGGGTACTGATACTTGAGAGAGGTTATTTAATTGAGTTGTTTACAACTCCCTGACAAGGCAGACTGCAGCAGGCATTGTCCTTGTCTCAGGGAAAAGAGATGGGTTGTCCTTAATGGGACAGTGCACAGTTAATTCACTTTTCCCTGGGTAATCCAGAACATACCTACCTGATCACTCCCTCCATAAAGATGTAAGTAATCATTCTCTGAGAAGTTTGGGAAAGGCCCTGTGGGTCTCACGGGTTTCTTTTGTCCCATGCCTGCCTCTTGCCCACTTCCCCAAAAAGTGCCGAGAGATGTCTTACAGCACTGAAAAATCTCATTGGCGAGAATGAGGGCGCACGGAGCTCCATCTGCGGTTCCCACGGGGAGCAGTCTCGGCATGTCAGCGGGAGACTGAGAAGTGACCCTCAGAATCACACTTTCATCCCTGTGCTATTTCGGAGCCCGTGGCCTAAACGAATGAATTTGGCAACGCGGCTCATTCTGCTGCGTGGATTATCTCCTTGCTCCCCACTTGAAGTTGTACATCAAGTTCATTCCAGGAATAGCATGCGCAACTTGTGACTTGGCTCATCATGAAAAGCTGAACTGTCTGAGCTATCCACTGGCCGTGTGCTCTGAGCCAATAAACTGCCTTGTCTTGCAAAAATTAATCAAGGAATTAACGCCATTCAGCATGCAACCCGAGACATGTTTTCCCCAGAAGCTCATCCCCCTGCGTCTGATGGAGCCTGGTTCCCACCTAATAATTCCCAAGATTGTGCTGTACCAGTCTATGCCCTGTATCTCGGCCCTCCCGAGATATCGATTGAGGTCATCGTCTCAGGCAGCAGATGTTGGGTGGTGGCAATAAAGTATTGGGGGAGAGAGCTGTGGGCACCACTCTGTTCCCCCTAAGCTCACCTGCCGCCTTCAGGAATCGGAGAAGGTGCTGTCCCATTGGCAGTGTCCAGGAAAGGTCCAGCTGCCCGGTCTGGTGACCTTCAAGGTTGAGTGGGGACGAGAACACAGAACTGCTGAGTCCCAATCCATCAGCTATTTTTAAACAAGCCTTAACACGACTAAAAAGGCCACTAAGGGCCCAATTCTGTACTCAGAAAGAAAAGGTATGCGGCTCTCAGCTTTTTCTCGTCCAAGCTGAGCCAGGATTGTGCCCTTAAAAGAGGAAAATCTTAACAGAGCAATCCTATGGTGTGTGGGAATGTGGTCTGGGGTTGTAGGATACCGTGGCTTTCTTGTCCCAGCGCTGATGAAATATCTGAGACCAGGAAGGGAAAATACCCACCACCCTTCCCAGCTGCCATGGAAAGAAGATCTGTCACAGCAACCTCGGAAAAGACAGAGGGGGCGCAATGGCGCACTGTTAGCCCCTGCCACAGGTTTCCAGCCCCCCAAGAAGAGTCCAAGAATGCAGATATCAGAAGGCATCAACCAGCCAGTCGGGGGCAGAAAGGGGAATGGCCGTGGGTGATCAGCCTGTGAGTCCATTCAGCTGAAAACAGCCATGCTTGGAGGATCAAGGAGCTCCAAAACCTTTTGCCAGCAGAACATTATGAGGAATGGAAACTTCAAAATCTAAAGCATTAAAAGCACTTCATTTTAAAAGCGACATTAAAAAGATGTCTTCTAAAATCCCCTACAAGCTGAGAGAGTTGGAAGGATTTTAACAACTGGGTTAGTCGATGAGAGTTATGTGCAGGGTCTTCTTGGATTCATGGGCACCAGCAGGGGCCCAATCATGCCGAGTGCTGGCGCTGAATCGCTGGCTAGTGCTGGAGGGAGAACGCCAAAGGGCGCGGACTCTGGTCCAGTCACGTCTCACGTGATGCCCTTTTAAAGCATCCCAGGTGGCTAGGGAAGGAAGAACCCCACAAGAGCACATGTGGTGAATTACAACCCCGAGAACTGCGACTCCTGCTCTCATATGGCTGCAGCTAATTGGATTTTCATCATTCTTCATCAAGCGATGGAGTTTATTTTAGCCACCCCCACTTCCACTGAGAAATGAGCTTCACGTGACAGTAACGCTGGGACACTTTAAGCACGCAACATCTGCTTGCCAGGCTGCCAAATGCAAATTGTGCCTCCTGCCCTGGGCTGAAAGACTGTTTTTATTTATGATGGTAGGATGCGGACCTCACAAATCTCCTGCCTGAGACGTGTGCAGCCCCCTCCCGGCTGCTGCAACCCCCTTTCAGATACAAACATATTAAAGTGTTAGGGACACTTGTGTGTCTAAGAATAGGAACCTGTGTGTTCTTCACCTTGTATCTGGGACAGGTAAGCCCCTTTTCCCAAGCTGGGACAGTGGGGTGCTGACCACCCACCTGTGTGACTCACAAGTATTCCTCCCCCAATATCAGCCCCATCTGAGCGAAAAAGCCCCACCACCACGGGGCCAGGAGGACGGTGAAAAACCCCATGTGGCAGGTTTGGGGCCAGCAATGACATTAGGGTGCAGCTTTGCCACCCCCCCTTCCTGAATTGTACCAGCAATGAGTGGCGAACATGAGTGAAATGTTTGGATAACGCTCCGTATCTGTCCATCCTGCTCACTTCTTCTGGGGGAATGCATAAAAGGCTAGAGTCTAGCACGGCTGGATAACTTCAGGCCCCAGGATCAAATCTGGCCCACTTTTCATCTCCCACGATTTATTTATGTTTATACTTGTATGCCGCTAACTACACCAATTGGAAACTCTAAGCAGCTTACAATAATCAAAATCACAACCACGAAAACAATAAAACTATCATATAAAACAGTAACAGTATAACAGCAGCCTTTTAAGGATGTAATAAGCGATAAGGTCAACTATATAGTCCAATATATAAATATGGCTTGGCAGGATTCCCTTAGTGGTCACGTCTCCTTCCCCTGGACCCACGCCTTTCCCTCGGAGCACGATCTCTCCAGTTATCGCCCAGTTTCCCTCCCTTCTTGCCTGCCACCCATTCTAAAAGTCTGGAAATGCCTTTCCTAAGAATTCGCTGCAGGCGAGAAGTCCCGCAGAGAAGAAAAGCCACGGCAGCGCCTTTTGTCCCCGAGGCCCGCCGGACGCCCGCCCCAGGTGCTCCCCCGCAATTTGGCTCTGGAAGGAGCTCGCCACACCTAGACAAGCGGTTACGAGATCCCCGGGGCCGCTCGCATTCTTCCGTCTGTGTTGCACTGCTCGGTGCCCCGTGCGTTGAGCTTTGATCCCTCGCCTCAAATTAAATCCTAAGCCTTACGCTATTGTCCTGCTGACGGCGGGTGCGCCAGCACAGAAGAACCCTCCACGTTCAGGCGCGGGCTCACTACCAAGCCCCTCTCGCTGTTGCGGGACGTGCTGCGGTTCTCCCAGCAGCCGCGTCCCCCTGCCCTGCCGTCCGAGGCAGCGTTAGCAGCTGGCCCGCCTTCCTCTGGAGCCCCCTGTGCCTGGGACGCCCCCCGCGCCTCCGCGCCGCGGTCCTGGAGCGCCCGCCGAAATCAAGGCAGGGAGGGCCCGCTGGTGCGCCGGATCCCCCGGGCCGGGCAGGCTTTTGGCCCTCGCGGGGCCCCGCGCCGCGCAGGTTTTGCTGGCGAGCATCGATCCTGATCGGCCCTCTTTGGGAGAAAGGGCCTTTGCAGGGCGCACGCTCATTTCGCCTCCTCCGCTGCTCGCCCTGCGGGCCTGAGCCCCGGCACCTTCCGCGGCCCGGCGCCCGGCCGCCCGGCCACGTGGGGGACCTGCCGCAAGCAGCGGAGGCCCCGCCCCGCCGCCGTCGCCCCGCCCCCGCCCCGCCGCCTGTTGCAGGCCCCGGCCCAGGAGGCGGGAAAAGCGCCCGGCTGCGGGGAAGGGGGCGTGGAGAGGGGCGCTCTTAAGCCGCGGCCGAGCGAGCCCTGCGAGGGAAGCGGTCGTCGCGGCGCTCGGCTCGCCCGGAGGAGGAGGAGGCGGCGGCGGCGGCGGCGGCGGCGGCGGCGGAAGGGAGCCCGAAGGCGGCCGGCGAGCACCCCCGGGCCGCGTCCTCGCAGGCTGCCGCGCATCGGTCGCGCTCGGCGCCCCCGGGAGGCAGCGCAGCCGCGGCGCGCGATGCTGAGGAGCTGCGGGAAGAAGCTGCTCCTCTCCCTGCTGGGCTCCATGCTCACCTGCTTCCTGGTGCTGGTGGTGGACCAGCAGCGGGGGCAGGTGCTCAGCCTGGGCGGCGGCGGCCCCGGGTTGCTGCTGCAGCCCTTCGACAGCGGCCGCGACGCCGCCGCGGCCGCCGATGGCGCGCAGGGCTTGCTGCGGCAGCTGCGCGCTGCAGGGTCCGCGGGGCAGAGCTTCCAAGAGATCCGGAGCTTCACCGATTACTTCACCAAGCTGACCCGCGGCAAGAGGGAGGCCGAGCGGTCGCCTGCCGGCGGCGGCAGCCCGGAGGCGCCGCGACCTCCGCTGGAGCAGCTTGCGCCCCGGGACGTCTTCATCGCCGTCAAGACCACCAAGAAGTTCCACCAGTCCAGGATGCAGCTGCTGCTGGATACGTGGATCTCCCGCAATAAGGACATGGTAAGTGGGGGGCTGGCGTGGCCCCGCTGCCCCGCTTCGGGGTGGCTCGTGCGCGGCCGGGGCTGGGGCTGGGGCGGCTGCTGGGAGCGGGGCGCCCCCCCCCTCGCCGTGCCCGACGGGGGAAGGCGCTCTGCACCGCCGCAGCGGAACTCGGGCCTGGCACGCGTCCGGGCGGGCGCCTGGGGAGCCCGCTGCGGGAGGGAGAGAAGCCCATTCCCGTCCCGGGTCGGGTCGGGACGGGCAGACCCCGCTTCGCCGGCCCCGGTGGTGGTGCGGGGGGGGCGGTGTCTTCCTCGCGAGGAGCTGGCCCTGGGCGATGTGCGGCGGGCGCCGGCGGGGGAGCGAGGCACGCGCGAGCGCCCCCCCCCGCGCGGACGAGCCCGCGCCTGCAGCCGAAGGGAGGCGGCCGCGCGATGCCCGCCCGTGCCAGGGGAGCGCTAATGAGCAGGCAGGATGTCGCCCGGCGAGTCCCGGCAAGCCCGGCGCCTTGATCCGCGCCGCCCCCGCCCTGGCCCCCCGGGGAGGGAAAGTGAGGCGGCTGCCGCGCCGCAAGCCCGCACGGGCGCTCCCTCCGGGCCGCCGGGCGGGAGCGGCGACTCCGCGCGCGCTCGGAGCGGGAGGCTGGCTCGGCACGGGGCTGAAGCGTGGGCCCCTGCCCGACCCAGGGAAGGCACTCTGCACGTGCCCAGTGGCCCCTCCCCTCCCCTCCCCTCCCTCTGCATCGTTCCCGTTTTCCAGCTCGGGGATGCAGCGGGGGATTCTGGGCTCAAGCCAAGCTTTGGAAGCCTAGGCCAGCCTTCCCGAAAGCGAGTGCTCCCTGGATGTGCTGGGCGGCCGTCCCATCATCCCCAGCTCGCCTTCTCCTGCCAGCGCTTTCTTTCTCTTCAGATGAGCGAATGAATTGAGTGGGGCCAGCGATGGGCACCCAAAGCCAAGATGGGTTGTCCGCTCTTTGGTTTTTCCCAGCACCTTCCTTCCTACACAGTCAGTCAAATGGGTCTGCTCTAAGTATGTGTGAATGAATGTGATCGGCGGGGCGGGGGGGGGGCGGGGGGGAGTGCAAGGTTCTGAATGGCACAGACGTCTTCGGCAAGCCAGCTCACTGCACGGCAGCCTTCTTGATCTCTTGCTAGAGGAAGAGTTCTGCCTGACTTCGAACCTGGCTGCCTACACCAGCAGAAGCTGATGCATATGTGTGTTTTGTCTTCTGGCTAAGGGAGCACATGCTTCCCCCAACCACTTGCCCAAGGGAAAGCCACAAGCTGGATGGGGGTGCCACGTGACCCTCCAACCTATGTGCCCCCCCAGAGAAAATAGGACAATTCACCTGTGGGGGCCGGCACTCTTGCAAGGCACCCCGCTTGCCATGGCTTTAGCAATCCTGAAATACCCCTAAACAACCATGGGTTATCTGAGGGTAGTCCAGCATTCCAACAACCCCTGTTGCCTGGGTTCTCATGGCACAGCAACCCGTGGCTAGTTGGGTGACTGAGAGTGCCGGGCAAAAATGGCACCCACAGGTACCTGGCCTGATGCGGCATCCGCCACCGGTAAATGCAGCCGCGCGAGGGCCGTCCTGCTGTGCAAAGCAGGTACCTTAATTGAGCATTAATTCCCCCGGGAGCCAGAGGACTGTCCTTGTCCGACGAAAAACAGAAGGGAGGCTGGAAAGCAGAAAGTGCTGTGATGGGGATGCTTTGCATCTGCACTTTTAAACCAGTTTCAAACTTTGGTCAAGTGCCATGGATGTCGATCGAGGGATGACGGCGATATTGTTCTGCAAGGGATTAAGGATCCCTAAGCTCATGCTTCGGAACTGGCTTCAAACCTGGTTATAATGTGGAGTGTAGAGGAAGTTAAAGAAAACGCCAGGACTCTGCCACCTCCTGCAGCTGAGCTTTAGGAGCAGATGGAGAGATTCTGTGGAATGGACCCGGTTCCCTTATCGCATCTCTGTCGAGAACATGCAGCGGCCGCCCTTCCCTTTGAGCAGCTTTTGAGCCAACTTCTCTGGGCTCCCGGCAGTAGCGATGGAGAATTCTCCCTTTTCATCCCCAGAGATGCCTGTTTATTCCACCGCCCACCACACTTCCCCCTCCCCTACTTTTTTCTCAAGAAGACTGGGTATGGGGCCCATGAAATGCGATTTGTGTCGCTGGACTGGGCTTGTCAGATGTAAAGCAGAGACTAAAGGCCTGGCTGTTTAGCTTAAAGAAAAGAGGAGGGAGAGAGAGTTCTCAGGCTTGTTCAGAGCAAAGGGGAGGGGGCGAAGAACATCAAGTTCCTGCCCACCCCCTCCCCTCCCCTCCCTAGAGCTGGGGCTGGTATTCACGGATGACCCACAAGTCATCAGCGAGGGAGGCTTGGAAAGTTTTGGGTTTTTCTTTTAAAAAATACTGTTGAAATGTATTTATCAAGCAGTCCCAATGGGCTTTTCATTCCTGCTTTGGGGTGTGTGCTTTATTTTTACGGATGAAGAAACTGAGGCAGAGAGAATGACTTAAGACCCCTCAAGTGTCAAGATTCCAACCTTGTGGACCGAATTAGCATCCAATGTTGTATAGATACAGCTGGATCCCTGCATGGGGTGGTGTGTGCGTGTAGATCCACTCAGTGAAATAGGTCTTCTCTGCCAAGAGGCAGGGGAAATTTTGCCGTTTTCCATCCATCGGGTGTAGAAGTGTCCAGGACCACCCCACCCCTTGGCAAGACCCCTCAGAGCTGGGGAAAGGATTCTCAGGTTGCCATCCAAGGAGACCAATGCCTTTTTTCTGCATTATTACAACCGAAGCACTAGTTTAGTGAACCCAAGATTCCTACATGCCCTCTGAGAAGCCTGTCTGTTAACAATGTGGACTATCCCCTTGACCAATCCCATGGAGGTCAGTGGAGGACTTATGTGATAACCTTGAGGCCTGGATACAGCAGCAAAGGTGGCAGCGGTGGCCGCTGAAGTCTCCTGTGCCATGAGGGGCAGAGGGCAGTGCAGTGTATGATAGATGGAGCCAAAGGGTCACAGTTGTCCACAGCAGCAACCCATTGTACAGACAAGGAAAACTGAGGGAGATTAACTTTGAGACCATGCCTGCAAAGAAGAGGGTAGGGCAGGGAGCGATCCCTCAGCATCACAGAAGAGCCCTTTGGGCCCACATTTTTCTGTTTTAGCAGCAGTCCCCACCCCCCACCCCCGTTGCACAGAGAAGAGAAATTAGAGCCAGTCCCACACAAGCTGAATCAGAAAAGACTGAGAACTCCCAAGCTCTGTGGCTAGTAACCTCAAGCTGTTAGTGCCAAGCGGGGCCTGGCTTCTTTCTTCATGCAGTCACTTCAACCCTCCCCTTTGCTGCCTCTCTTTGCTGCTGCATTTGGCGCTGCCCCAGGCAGAAAAAGGTGGCAGCACAGGTTACAGAGCATGAGCACGTGTGCTTGCCCCTCTGCCCTGCTCTCTCATGCCGTTCGAGGAGCTTCCAGACCCCAGAGGCTTCTGCTGTTCTTCCATTCACCTTTGCTCCGTGCTGCTGTGCTTGCAGTGGTTTCTTCTGCTGCTCCCAGCCCCCTGCACGTCTTAAAAAAATGCCTCCGCCAGGTGAGCGATCTGGTAGGCGAGCCCGGGAGCCCGGTGCTGCCTGCTCCTGCCTGCTGCCCGCGGTCCTGCCCAGCCAGGAGGTCAGCCCGCTTTCGCCCGGAGCGGTCCTGGCCTCCTTCCAGCCCCTCCGGAGCCCGCTGGCACGCTGCTCTGTTGGAGCGTCTTATTTCTGAGTGTGTGCCCGGATCTTGCGCTGCCGGGACTGCATGGGAATGTGGGAGCCAGAGGTGGGGAACGGCCCCCAACACCTACAGACAGCCCTGAGAACGGTTCACCTTTTCTCTCCAAGGCAAGGTCTTTCTTCTGGGTTTTTGTTCCACGTCGTTTGTCCTTTCGGCTTCCCAGTGCCTTGAGCTCGGCTCTCACGCTGTCTCCCCGGGCAAGCTAACAAAGCCCCCTTTCTCCCTGGGGCTGAGAAAAGACTTTGCAACCCGCTTGTGTGGTGCTTTTCCGTGGGAACAGGGCCGTGGGGGGGGGGGGGATGCAGGAGAGGGAGAGCTGCAGCTAGCAATGGCCAGGTCAGGTTGCCTAGAGATGGAGGGGGTGAGGGAAGCGACCGGGTGCCGGCCTGACCGTCCGCCGAACGGCACTCCTCTTCTCCAGCACTTGAGGGACGAGCTTCCGAAAGGTGGCCGAGCCGATCTGGCCTGCCGAAATGCTCGGCATCGCGCCTCTCAAAAGGGAGGCGTGTCAGCTCCGTGGAACGTTGTGCCTGAGGAAGGCCAAGGCGTTTTTCTTGCACAGGTCCGCTTGGCTTGCACGTGAAGGGTTAGCATGCAGAGCCCCTGGGCCGAGGAACCAGTTTAACTTCCCAGGAGGCTGTGGTTGTGATGGGCATGGTGTAGAAAGAGGTCAGACGGGGGGCTGCAAAGGGAGCCGTTAGTGCTGGCCCCCTCGCTGTGGAAAGACCTCCTTTGAAAGGCTCACTGTAGTCTTTTCAGCTGCGGCCAAAGGCTTTTGTATTTTCCCTGGTGTTTTAGCCCCCCAGCTTTCAAAATGGGTACATTTTTAGATCCTTGCACTGTTGCTGTTTTTTGCCTCTTGGTTCCTACTTTGATTTTCAGTTATGCTTTTATTATTGGACTGTATTTTGTGGCTCTAAGCTTGGTCTTGTGAAATGCCCAGGCAGCTTCAGTCTGTGGGTGGTATAGCAATGGGATGAGAAGGGACCTTTCCAGACATTGGGGTTTCAACTCCCATCAGTCCCTGCCAGCATGGCCAATGGTCAGGAATGCTTGGAGTGGAGCCGTTTTCTTCCCAGCCCTGTGCTAAGAACCTCTTAGGGTAAGGAGAGCAACTTTGCAGAAATGATGCCCAGGATTCTTTGGGGTAAGCCAGCACTGTTAAAGGGGCAGGAAAGCTTTATGGGTCTAGAGGCTTATTCCTGGCTAGCAAAAAGTAGACTGAGGTGGTT